CATCTCGCGTAAGACCCGTTTCGTGACGTCGTTCACATGGGTTTCGAGACAGAGCGCATTCCGCGAGCGCCCTTGGCATGGCGGGCTCCAGAGATGGCCTTGCCCTCGGCGAAGCCCGCCCTCGGCGCATGCTGGCGGAGGGCGGCGGAAGCAGATGTGGCGGTAATTAGAATCCACCGGCGGAGGGGCCGGGGGCAGGCGGCACAAGCAGAAGCGAATTGTCAACGTTTTTTGATCTTGAGCGGTCACACGAGTCATCAAGCACAATACAGACCCCTAATATCAATAACACAATGCGGCCTCTAATTTCGGCCCTCGGTGTTTAGGACTATCAAGAAACATGTGGGTGGCTCTGTCTGAGGCATCTGCCACAAAAACTCCCTATCCCTAACGTTTCTGGCCCTCCTGACTCAGGTCCCCTCCCAAAGGATTAGGGGCATTTGTTCTCCTAGATGAGTATAGCTTCGCGAGCTGGCGGGCATGCTCCTGCACGCGGCTGGGTCTGGGGCCTGGGGAGGTCTCTGGAGGCCCAGCGATAGGGCTATAGGGCCAAGATCGTGCGAAGAACCTCCCCCGCCCTGGATCCTCGATAGTCGGGGGCAAAACTTGGCGGGTTAGCGTGATGGGCTTGTTTTCCACCACTACCACCACCATAAGTTGGAGGGGGAGGGGGTCCTCCTCCTCCTCCTCCTCCTCCTCCTCCTCCACCTCCTCCTCTTCGTCCTCATTGATACGCTGGGCTCCTCCTCTTCGTCCTCCTCATCGTCGTCCTCCGTCCCCCCTCCAACTTATGGTAGTGGTGGTGGAAAACAGGCCCATCATAGCGGGCGCAAAGGTGCGAATGCGGTCAGGCGCCTGTCGGGCTACAAGCGCGGCGCGCTGAAAGCTAATTGAGGCACGACGGGCAAGGGAGGAGCGGAGCAGGAGGAAGGACAGCCGGTCAGACCGTGTAGACCTAAACGAGTTTGTGGCAGGTCATCGGTCGTCGTCTTCCGTCGTTGTTTCCCGACGGCGCCGTGACAAAGACGTCCTCGTCGTCGTCGTCGTCGTCATCATCGTCGTCCTCATCGTCGTCCTCATCGTCGTCGTTTTCGTCGTCATTTTCGTCGTCCTTTTCGTCGTCGTCGTCGTCGCCGCCGCCGCACTCCCGAAGGCGCCGTGCCGCAGAGCGCCCGGCAGGCGCTCCAGCGCCTCGAGGCGCCGGAGGCGCCCAGTGGCGGCGAGGCCGCCGCCGCCGGGTCCTCGCCGCCCACCAGGGCCGCGCTGCTCCGCGCGGCGTTGGAGGCGCCCGGGCCGGATGCTCTCAGCCGTCCGCTCGTTCGTCGTTCCAGGCCTCCTGGATGATGGGGTCCGTGTAGATTTGGAGCCGTCTGCAGCCAATCGTGCCGGCCAGGGCAAGGTCAAGGGACAGACGGAGGGCGAAGTTGTGGCGGGGGAGGGAAGCACGAAGAGACTGCAAAGGAAAATGAGCCCCCTTACTAAACGAATGCACTAAAACGAATGCCCGCCCTGCCATGCCCTCACTGAACAAATGCACCGCGCATGCGGCTACGTCTGCGTCGTCCTGCCCAGCCAATCGTGCCGGCCAGCAGCAGGAAGGGCGGGCAGGTTCGAGGTTCTGGATTCGGGAAGGTTTTTGATTGCCTTTTGCAGCCTCTGGGGGTCGTTGTCGGGCCCCGGGAGCGTGAAAAACGGATTTGGAGTGAAAGAGTACACCGATGGGCCTTTGGGATGGGTCTGGGGACCGATTTTGAACGGACTTGGCCTCACCCCCCTTCCTGACCGATTTTCTGGGTTCCCAACAATTCAGACCTCCCGGCCGCCTCCAAGAGGAGATGGGGTCGGAGGATCGCGCCGCATCGCCGATGCATCGCCGATGCGGCTCGATGTGGAGCCTGATGATTTGCTCCGCGCTGGCCTCGCCGGTGCACCCCGACGTCGCTGATGCATCGCCGATGCATCGCTGGTGCATCGACGATGCGGCGCGATCCTTCGACCCCATCTGCTCGGACTCCATCTAGGATGCCTCTGTCGTCGTTGTCCCCCTCCTCCTTTGGGCATTACCAGGACGCCCCCCCAGACATATCGACCGAGGAGACTTGCACGAGCTCACTCGACATTGGCATTCGAGTGTGCCTTCGAGTGTGCCAGTACAGTCCGCAGTCGGTTTCGATAATTCCTCCTCCTCCTCCTTGTCCCCCTTCTGCTTCCTCGCCTGTCCCTCCTTCTCATCCACCTCCTGCTCCTCCTCCTCCTCCTCCTCCTCCTCCTCCTCCTCTCCCGTTTGTCCCCCTCCTCCTCCTCCTCCTGTCCCCCTCCTCGCCCTCCGCTCCTCCGCCTCCTCCTCCTCCTCCTCCTCCTCCCTCCTCCTCCTCCTCCTCCTCCTCCTCCTCCTCCTCCTCCTCCTCTCCTCCTCCTCCTCCTCCTCCTCCTCCTCCTCCCCTCTCCTCCTCCTCCTCCTCCTCCTCCTCCTCCTCCTCCTCCTTGGTGGCTTGGCACCCGTGGCCCCCCGCCCCCCAGCAGCCGTTTTGCATGGGGGCGGGCGCCGTGCCCGAAGGCCATAGCCCCCACGCCAGCTGCCCGCTCGCGGCGGGCGCTCGTGCAGCATCCTGGAGCGCAGGTAGCGCTCCCCAGCCTGGCACCGCCGAGCTCGGCGGCAGCGAGCGCAGGCGCGGTCCGCCTTGCGCCTCGCAGCCGCTCGCGCCACGCTGGCAGGTTATCACGGCGATCGTCCACGCGCTGCCGCCGTTGACATGTCCACGCCGCCCTAGCAGACTTCCGCGGGCCCGCAGTGGGCGTGTGCCGCCAACCGCGTCTGCGGCTTCTGCACCAGCTTTGGGTCGCGGACTACCTGCTACAAGTGCGGCCGCGACAAGCTCGGGCGGATGCCGAAGGCTGAGGACGCAGCGTTCGAGACGTCTTCTGCTCGTTCTGCTTCTGCTGGGCGCCGCCGCCGCTCTGCTGCTGGAGACGTTGGGGCCTCTCCTTCTGCAAGTGCCGCCGAGCCCGCGACCAGCCCCGTGCTGCAGCGGACACGCCAGGGGCTGCAGGCCCTTCGCGACCTGCAGTACGGGGACGACCACCCGCTGGTCGCTGCAGCCCGCGATGACCTGGCGCGCTTGAAGGCGGAGGAGCGCAACGCCCAGCCTCCCGAGGTGCTCCTCTGCAGCCTGCAGAAGCGCCTCGACGACGCCAAGGCCAACCACGGCCAAACCGCCGAGGCCTTGGCGCAGGCCACTGCGGAAGTCGAGCGCCTCACCAGCTTGTTGGCCCAGCATGGCGCTGAGGTGGCTAGCATTGAGGCCCAGATGGCAGGTGCGCACCTCGCCGTGGCGGCCACTGCGACCGCCCCCGCAGGTGACCTCGCGGGTCTCGCCACCGCGCTGGTCGGCTTCCAGGCGTTCCCTGGCAGCGCGCAGTCCACCGTGGCCAACGGTCAGGGCGTCCAGCTGTTGGAGGCCATCAACAGCCAGGCCATGGCCATGAGCGCAGCCTTCCCAGTTCAGGCCTTGCAGGGAGCCCTCGGCGCGCCAGGCCAGGAGCTGGCCAAGCCGCCCAGCCAGCCCTCCCAGCAACTGGTGCCGCGCCCGCTGTCCCAGCAGCTGCGCCAGCACCTGGAGGACTTGCGGGCGCGCCTGCTGCTGCTGTTGCCCTTGTTGCCGCTGGGGACGGGCCGCCGAGGGTGGGAGCCGCTTTTCGTACCTCAGGCGGCCCCGCGGCCAGCCATTGGGAGCACGCGGGGATGGACGACTAGGCGGCGAGGCCTTCGGCGTGCTGCTCGCACGGATGCGACTTTCGTCACCTACAACGGCTCGTCTTGGGGGTTCTGCCGTGAATGTTCGATTGCGTGTGATTCTTCGGTTTTGGCTGTCGCCGCGCAAGGGCTCCGAATTGATGGGGATGGAGTTCTTCACGCGCAGGGATGGGCAGCCCGATCTGGATGGCGCGCCATAACATCTGCTTGCCGCCACCTTGAGTCTGGACGGCCGTCCGTTGGGGCTGGACTCTTTGCCAGGCAGCATATCAGTGTCACTGCGCTACCAGGTCTTGGTGCAACTGGCTCATTCGAATTGATTCCGAACTTCTGTGTGGCTTGCCATGCGGGCTTCGGGATCAAAGGTGGTCTGATCGTGGTGTCTGCCTACTTCGAGGTGGGCCAGCGGGCGACTGTAAAATGTCAACAGGTTATTCGACATCTCGCTGGCACTTCGTGGTTGGAATAGGCCGTTCTGCGACCCGTCGGACTTGGCGGACATCGGCTACTTGGACTACATTCCTGCACAGGCTGTCGCGCGATCGCGCGCTAGAAACTCCACCGTGGGGACATGTCGGAACTCGCAGGGTGACTACTCAAACATCGACTTCTGGCTGGGCAGCTTGTCCCACGCTGGGTCGTTTACGGCCCCGAGGCCTGTGCCAGGATGGCTTGCCGCCCTGCGCCGTCCCATGATGACCAACCTGGCGGCGCGCGCCAAAGCGGCGAAGTTCGCGGCGTTCGCGCCAAAGCATTATCATTTACAGTTGGCATGTCACCTGGGCCGCATGCTTTAGCGCTTGCTCCTGGCAGCTGCTCATGTCCATGAGCACACGTCGGGTATGTGATTCATGTTGTTGGGCTTGTTCTGCATCCCTGGCTTGCACGATCCTTTCGCTGTCGGTGACCCTCTGCTAGTACTCCTCCTGGACGCTCTGGATGGGGGCCTACAAGCCCTTCTCCTGGTCCTGCATCTCGAGGTGGGCGTTGCGGAGCAGGTGGTCAGTTTGCTCCCAGTGATTGCGCAGCTGGACTTGCTGGCTTAAATCGTTGATCCCCCTGCGCTTCGGCGACGGAGATGTGTTGTTATGTCTCTCGCAGCCTGTTGCAGTATATCTCTCTTTGCCTGGTTGGTTGTTCCATGAGTTCTAGCTGCCGTTGGTGGTTCTTGTGGTCTTTGTCGGACTCAGCGGGTATTTTTCTGAGCTTGCCCCAGCTCGTTCTGTATGTCGGGGGCGTGTTTATGCCTGTCCCGAGGGAGGTGGTCCTTGCCGCTGCGGTTGTTGCTCCTCATGCTGGTGTCGAGCTCCTTCTTCGTCCTCTGTAGTGCCGCCGCCGCGTTCGTTGTCTTCGTGGCGGGCCGCCACATTCTCGGTTTGTGATCGTGACAGTCATCAGTTCCTTCTTCAGCTCGTTATGGTAGTGTGGTGCTTGCGTGAGTGCGTGTCGTTACTTATGTTGTGTTCCTCTTGTGCGGTCTCTTCAGTGCTCGAAGGTGTCGCTGTAGCTGCTGCAATTCCGTCGTGGATGTCTCCCACGCCTTCTTGTTTTTGGTTGCTCTGGTAGAGGCTGTCGAACTCCTCCTTCTCCTTCTCCTCCTCCGTCATCCTCCCTCCACCTCGTCGTCGTCCTTGTCGTTGTCATCGTCGTTTGCGTGGTTGTCTGCGACACCGTCGGGCTACCCGTCTCCAACGCCAGGGCGGACGAACATAGGTGCATTGGGAACGGGTGGGGTACCAGAACTGGGCCACGTCCTCGACACATCGAAGCCTCCGGCGCCAGGAGGCGCTGGGAAAATCAGCTACGTCAATTGATTCGCTACCCACCTGTTGGATGCCCCCCCCCAGTACGTCTGACCCGACAATGGGTGACCCCAGCTAATTTTGCATCTTTCTCCCACGGGTGGAGAGCAGCCACGAGGAGGGGAACGTGGACGCGACCCGCGCTTTTCTGCCTCCAGCCTCAAGCCTCAAGCCTCGTCCTCCCCCTCTTACCTCTCCTCCTACTGATTGCTGATTGCTTATGGCTAAAGGTTCGTCGAACGCAGCCCTCCTCCTCCTCCTCCTCATCCTCATCCTCATCCTCATCCTCATCCTCATCCTCCACCTTTCTACACTTGCAAATAATAAGTACTATTTTATCCTCTCTCCCCTGAATCTGTCAGGATGATTATCGGCCCTCTCCATGTATGTTTTCACATCGTATTTCAAAATGTGTTGTTTCTCATGGCTTGGTTTTCAATTCGATTGTTTCCAGTGTTTCAAGATCGTGTTCCCGCTGCAACGTAGGCCTCATTTTCGGATCGGCGTTTTGCTCCCATCGTTCAGAACGGCGCCCTCGCCCCAGCGAAGACAATTTTCTGGATCCGAGTCCTGTTTCATTGTTGCCGCCCTCTCATTTCCCCTCCTCCGCCTTCCCCTGGTCCTCCTGGTCCTCCCGCTCCTTCCACTCCAGCTCCTGCTGCTGCTGCTGTTCGTTCTCGTCCGCTTGCTTCCTCATCCTTCTCCTTTTACTCATGCTTATCTCCCTGCCCATACGCCACCGCCTCCAATGTTCGCAGCTCAATGTTCTCGCGATTGCGCGCAACACGATGGAATCATCTTTGTAGTTCCAGGTCAGCTATGACACGCGTCGGCGATAGAGAAAAAGTGGCGACATGGGAAGGGATGATGAGTGGGAGGGGTAGGATGCCAGGTATGGTGCAAACGCCCCTAGATTGCCGCTGTCTCCTCTCTCCTCCTGCTTTTCCTCCTCCTCCTCCTCCTCCTCCTCCTCCTCCTCGCCTCTTCTTCCTCCTGCTGCTTCTCCTCCCCTTCTCATCCTCCTCATTTCCCTCGCCTCTCCTGGTCATCCTCATCACCTTCGTCTGTGTTTCCTCACAGACTGCCGGCCTACGCACGCGCCTCCTCTCCTCTTCCTCCGCCTGCTCCTCCTGCTCCTCCTGCTCCTCATCCTCATCCTCCTGCTCCTGCTCCTCCTCCTCCTCCTCCTTCTCCTGCTCTTTCTCCTCTTCCTCCTATTCTTATTCCTCCTCATCATCCTCCTCGTTCTCATCGTTATCCTCCTCCTCCTCCTCTTCTCCTCCTCTTCTCCTCCTCCTCCTCCTCCTCCTCCTCCTCCTCCTCCTCCCCCTCCTCGTCATTCTCCTCCTCCTTCTGCTCCTCCTCCTCATCATCTTCCTCCTCCTCCTGATCCTCCTCATCATCCTCCTCGTCTTCCTCCGCCTCCTGTTGCGGCACACTGTGCCCTGACCTTCAGTGTCAACTACGACTTGCGACCACCATGCTATACAGGGAGGCGGCGCCAGAAAATTGGGCCGACCAGCGGGGCTAACCCACCTCCTACATCAGTCCTCTTGCGGCACACTCCCGACCCCCGATGTCGCGATTCGTTTCACAACGTAGACTCCTGGACCCCTTCGAAAAAGGGGCGAGCCGTTCATGCCAAGCAGTTTCCTTGACAGCTCCAGGGGCCGAAAACACTCGAAAAAACCGTTCCGTCGTTGTTTTGTTTGCGGCGCGAGGGGGTCTGGGCTCCGGTGTCAGACCTCGACGCCTGGCCCTGTCCCAGAGCCCATCCCGACAAGGACGTCGAGGGGAACCTGGCCGTGGTCGCGAGAACCCCCCCGAGGCTGAGCAAGCGTGCAAGGGTCAGGCGTTGCGTAGCGTGGGGGGACATGTGGAGCGATCAACGGGGGGGGTGGAGAAAGGGTGCACCGCTTATGCCCTCAAGAGGGGCACGCAAAACGTGCACGGTCATTCGCCCACCCACCCACCCCAGTGATCGCCCCCCCTGAAAGCAACGCCCGACCAGGGGGCACTCAAAACACCTTCCAGAAACGCACCCGACTCTGGCCGGCCCGCAAGGATTGGGAAGCGGGCGAAAGGCGGGGATCGGGGTCCGAGTAGAGATGGGGTCGGAGGATCGCGCCGCACCGCCGATACATCAATGATGCGGCTCGATGCGGAGCCCGATGTTCGCCACACTGAGGGCGGCGATGCATCGTCGACGCCGCCGATGCATCGGCGATGCGGCGCGCTCCTCCGACCCCATCTGCCCGGACCCCTCTTTGGGAGGCCTCTCCCTGCCCCTCCTCTCTCCCACCTCCCCTCGTCCGGCCCCGTGAGGAGGGGGACCTGGACGCGGCGGGCGCCCTCGCCTTCCGCGAGGGCTGCCCCGAGGACGGGCCGCGCCCCCAGGAGCGCCGATCGCGGGGCTCCGCTGGGGACCCCGCGAGAAGGCCGGCCCGTCTGACGAGGAAGGAAGGATTGCCGTGGGGGGGGGGATGGACGCAGGCTTGCCCCGCAGGGCAACGGGACGACCTCCCTCTCTCTCTCTCTCGAATGCCGAAGGCCCTCCCACCCCCTCCCCCCGCACGGCCCTGGGCGTGACGTGAAAGGCGGACGGCTCTCGGGTCGTGTCTGGATGGGAGCCCCCCCCCCCAGCGGTCCCCCCTCCGGGTTGGGACCCCACGCGCAGCTCGTCCCGTGGGGCGACAACGGACACCCACGAATGCTTTAAGCGCCGCGCGGATCTCTGTCATCTTCGCCGTGCCAGCCCCGGGGGCTCCTCTGGCGCTGCCTCCGGCGCGCTCCGCTCGGGCGTTGCGCCGTGGGCCTGCATCTCGGGCGATTCCGCTTTCGATCTCGCCCGATCTAGCGCTGGGCCGATTCGATGCAGCAGGCGACTTCTGTTGATTTCCTGCCGATCCGGTTCCGCCCATCGGTCGAAGAAGAAAGAATGATGGTCATTCCCCGAAGGTTGCGGCGGCTACGGACCTGCGGCGCTTTAGCTTCTGCTGCCTGCTATTCGCGTGATGTCGAGAGCCGCGGCTCCGGCGATCTCGGGCCGCTCGAGCATTCATTATTTTGGGCCCGGGAGGTTTTGTGTTAGAGGTCTCGGACCCGCATTAGGCAGCAGCCTACCCGACAGCGACCAGTCCGGACGCTTCGTCTACGGAGGCCATGCAGGCTCCACTCCTTGGCTTCACGCTTGGCTGCCAAGTGGCCTTGAAAGCGCGGCGCTGCTCCAGCTCGCCCGCATAGCTCGCCGCGTGGTGGGGGGGGAGACAACAACAACAACCACAACAACAACAACAACAACAACAACAACAGCAGCAACAACAGCAACAACCACAACCACAAAAACAGAAACAAACAACAAAACAACAACAAAAGCGTCCAGACCTTCCCTCAGATCTCTTGGGTCGGCGACAGGCCCCCGCCATGGCGGCGCCGCCTCGGGCGCCGCCGCCGGCGCGCGCTCCTCGCGCGCACCAGGGAGGGGGCCCCCGCGCCCATCCGAGACATCCGCACGGAGCTCCGAGAGCTCGTGTTCATGTTCGATCCACCGATCGTCGTGCGATCGCAGCGGGGACGGAGCGGGAGACGGGCCCTGAGGGAGACGGGTCCTGAGGTTGTTGGCCGCTTTCGGGCTTCATGGGGCGCTCCGCGGGCTCCGGGACTGTCAAGACACGACCCAGGAGGGTCGGGTGTTACCAAGGGTGTCCCCAGCCCATTGCGTCCCCAGGATTCCCGGACGGCCTCCAGAGCTCTCCTCACGAGGCCCAGGGGCCCCACGGGCTCCAAGATGGCGCGAGAGGCTGGGGCTACCTTGGCAGCGGACGAAGGTTAGTGCTGGCAACACCCAAGGCCATACGCAGCTCTTCGTCCGTCTTGGGCAGGGACCGCCGCCGGTGTCGCCACGGACGTTGTCCACTTGTGGCTGCACATGTGGCCAGATGTCTTTCCAGCGCGGCCCTCGCATGGCCAAGCAGGCCCCCCGCATACTTACGCAGGACGAAAGATTTTCCTCTTGAGGTGAAAATGGCCATGAGGAGTTCGCGAGACAACGACGGCGCCAGAACGGACGGCGACCAGACGAGCTGTTTGCAACAACCGGGGTGAGAGGGATGTATGTATTCATTTTGAATGGGGCCTGCTCGCGCGGGGAGCTGATGGGAGTGCGCGAGACGACGCAGCGCCCATCGTGGAAAGTTGATTACCGAACCCCCCCTCCCCCATAGAATATTAACACGGGCGGTTTGCGGGGTCCGCGGATCCGATTCCAGCTCCCTGTTTTAATTTAGTAACATAAATTTTAAACAGAGTAGACATCGGATCCGCCGTGAAAAATAATACCGAACACGGATCCAGCAAATCCGAAATCGGATCCGCGCGCCGCGCGGACAGAAATCGGATCCACCGAAACACACACCAAAACCAAAATTGGACCCGCGCGAACTTCATTGGATCCGACGGCGGGTATTTCACACGCGTTTGCTTAAGACTTCAAACCTTCGCTCCGGGCCCAAGAGGAAAAACTTTCGTCTTGGGGATGTAGTGACCTCCGGATGTTCCGCGTGTGAATCCAGCCATGTGTAGTTTCAGTTTTTTGGTATCAGTCTCAGGGGTACCTCTGCACCCTTCCCTTATCGCATCGTTCGCAATGCCTTAGTTCAGAGAGTTAACACATTGGTGTCCTAGGGGCTTGCACCCTTACCGCGCATCCTGTTCGTGCGCGTTGGCTGCGTTTCCTCTCTTTCTCTTCCTTCGTATCCCTTGTTCCTTTTGGCTGTTCCACAATAGCTGGTACTTAGAACACCATCGCATGGAAGGGCCACTGGCGGCCAACCCCAGCCATTGGGCTGGGCTTGCACACACACACACACACACACACACAAACACACACACACACACACACACACACACACACACGCGCCGCCGAGGGATAGTCCAAGCGCGGCGCGATTCTGCTACGCCGTCGGACTTCGTACGCTGTTTTACCCGCGCAGGTCGCTGTTCTTGTCGCAAGTCCTCACTTCTCATGTTTGTATTGCGCTCGCTCTTCTCGTCGCAATTCCTCCCGTTCCCCGTTTCATCTTTCCCATGCTCTTGTGGGGCCCTGGTGCGCGCGCCGCGTTGGGAGGCCGCTTCTGGAGTCCTGCTGGGTTCCTTGTGGGGGTCCCCTCTCAACCTCTATTCAAGAGCTGCGAAGGAACCCCCCATTTGTAGATCTCCAACATTGGGCGGCCACCCCTGGGAGAGCACACAGCCTAATGGGGCATGACGCCCACTCGTGTGCGGCAGTTGGAGTTTTGATGCACGATGCCCCCCCTGGCGCCCGGAAAGACCAGTTCGGTTGTTTCGCCCTTCTCTGCCTTTCCCTCTTCAGGTTTTTGCCGGATTGCCGTCAATCTCTTTTCGTCCTCTCTTTGTGGTTGTTTTGCTCGTTGTGTTGCCCCGTCTTCGTTTTCTGTTCATACCTCTCCTGGCCTCCTGCTTATGCTTCCCTCGAGCTTGGCAGTCCGATGCATTGCCTCATGTATCCCCTTCATTCAGTGGGGTGCGCGTTCTTGGCGACGTCTCGCATGACGTCCTCGGCTTGCCTGGCGATCGTCGTTCTCACATCGTGTTGCGCCTGGTGCCCGGATGGCGGCCGCTTCGTGAGCGCTTCGTGGGCACCCCGTGCGCTGGGTGCACAGCATAGTTCGTGCCACGTGTGTGTTTATACATATATTTACACATACACACTATAAACGCTTGTGTGTCTGTATGTATCTCGGTATGCATGCATGTACATATATATATATATAGAGAGAGATATTCACACCTGTTGCACCACATGGATTGCATCACGTAGATCGCATCACACAGTTCGCATCCCATAGTTCAGGCAACGCGTAGCTTGTACCACATACTTCCCACCATGGACAGCATGCATCACGTAGCGTCCGATGGGTAATTCGCACCACGTATATCGAATTGCTGCCTACCGCAAGTCCCGCCAATGTGCCAGCGTAGCATGTTGGATGGCGATTGTCTGAGGGCGCACGGGAGGCCGTCACGTGTGACGCATTTTGTCCCCAGGTTTGGGGGAGTCGTGATGATGATGGTGATGATGATGATGGTGATTGTGATGATGCTGATGCTGATGTTGATGCTGATGCTGATGCTGATACTGATGGTGAGTGTGATGATGATGATGATGATGATGATGATGATGATGATGCTGATGATGATGATGATGATGATGATGATGATGATGATGATGGTGATGTTGGTGATGTTGGTGATGTTGGTGATGGTGATGGTGATGGTGATGGTGATGATGATGATAACGGTGGTGGTTCTGCAGGTGATGATAATGATGAAGATGGGGAACAGGATAAAGATGCTAAGGATGGCGTGAAGGAGGAGGAACAGCAGCAGCAGGAGAAGGAGGAGATGAAGGCCGTCACATGTGTCACCTTTCGTCTTCACTCGTTGAGTAGCCCTCATGAAACTCGTCTGGGCCTTCTTGTGGCTGCCTGGGCCTCCTGTGAGGCAGTCTTGGAGGCCCCGGTGGGGAGGGGGGGGCGGGGGCCTCTTGAACCGTTTGGGGGCCTGAGGCCGTCTTGGGGTTCTTTTTGAGCCTCGTTCTCCTCATCTTCCTCGGCCTCCGTCCTCCTCGTCTATCCTCCTCTCTCTCTCCTCCCCTTCCCCTTCCTCCACCTTCTCCTCCTCTTCCCCTCCCCCCCTCCTTCTCCTGCTCATTCTCCTCCTGCCTAAAATCGAATCGAGGGCTACAGATGTTGCACAGTTTCATGGGCCTTCTTGGTCGTATGGTGGGTGCCTGGGGGCCGCCGTGAGGCCGTCTTGGCGCCGTTTTGGGCAGCCGAAGGGCTTCAGAAGACCGGCTTGGGTCCCACGGGAGGTCTTTTTGGGCGGCCTTGAGGCCAGCGTGGGACTTATTGGAGCCATTTTGAGTCGTCTTGGAGCCATCTTAACCTCAGGAGAGCGCATACCTGGACTGCATCACAAGTGTTACATCACATAGTTTGCACCCCATAGGTTGCAAGCAACGCGTAGCTTGCACCACATATATTGGGTCATGCACGATGCATCACATAGCGTCCGACGCGTAGCTTGCACAACACATATTGCATCACGCGTCACACAACTGTCACAACACAGCTTGCACCAAATAGCTTGCACTAGGCACGTAGCCTGCACCGCACTGATGGCACCACATACCCTGCACCACAGCTTCCACCGCATAATTTGCAACGCATGTGGTGCGCCATACACAGGACGCATGGCATAACTTGCCGTGCGCTTATCACGCAAAGTGGGCGCAAGAGACCACAGTGTGGCCCCCACGTCAGCTGACATAGAAGTCACACAGAACAACAGCAAACAAGAATATTAGCCAGCGTGGATCCTAAATAGTGCGTTACTGCACGGTGGAGGTGAAAGCTATGCGGTATAAGCTATGTGATTAAAGCTATGTCGTGTAAGCCCTGCGGTGAGGGTTGTGGAGGTGGTTAGTACGCGGTGCAAACTATGTGGTGTAAGCTATCTCGTGTAGGCTAGGCGGTGAGAGCTGGAGGTGAAATCTATAGAGTGTTAGCCATGTGATGGAATGTGTGTGTGCTGTGTAAGCTCTTCGGTATAAGCTATGCCGGGCGCCCACGAGGCGACATGGGCGGCAACGGGCGGCAACGTGTTGAATTTTCGGCATACCCCCAAAGGCGGCAACAGACGGCAACGGGCGGCAACGTGGCGAGTATGCGGCATATCCCCACTGGCGCCAACGGGACGGGCGGCAACGGGCAGCAACGCTTCGAATCTGAGGCATATCCCCACAGGCGGCAACGGGCGGCAACGTGGCGAATTGTCAGTATACCCCCACAGGCGGCAACGGGCGGCAACGTGGCGAAATTTTGGCCTACCCATCCAATTCCTCCCTAACCCAAGTAAGAGCCCATAAGTGCAAGCATTGTTTGGGCAAAGAAGCTTTCAGCAGGCGACCGGCGCGGACACTGGTGAGATCGAGCCCCTGCGGTCGGCCGGCCACGGGGGTAGGCAGGAGGGCGCCCGAGGTTGCGGCCCTGGCTGTGGCGGGCGTTCATCGGCCGCGAGTCCTCGAGCAGCGGGAAGGGCGCCAGGGACGACGAGGCGCCGAAGAGGCGCGCCGCCTACGCCGAGCTGCGCGCGCAGGCCTTGGGGAACCTTCTCGCAAAGCAAGGGGCAAGGGTCGGTAGCAGTTGCGCACTGGTCGCCAAACGTAGGCTCTCTTGAGGCTGCTTGCCGGTCAGGGAGTGCTCGCAGGGGCGGTGCGGTGTCCGTCGTGAGACACGGGCCGCAATAGACGGTCTGGCGGAATCAAGTTTGGCTTTCTTGCGTTCTCTCCAGCGGCGTGTGCCGTTGCACAGCGGCGCCCCATGCCAGGCTCCAGCTCCGTGACTCGCACCGCCCGTGGAGCAGGGCGTGCGCACAGTCCGCCGACCCCGCGTGCGGGAGACAGAGTTCCTCGTAGTCAGACCCGCTGGTACCCGCGTGCCGTTCCCCCTCCTCCCCCTCATTCTCTAGCCCGTGGCATTTTTTTTCTGCGTTTTCCTCCAGTCTGCTAGTCGCCGTGTCTACTGACAGGTCCTGGCGCCCGCCAGGCAACCAGAAGGGTTGCGAGTGGGGGTCCTCCCTATCCCTCCCGCTCCTCCTTCCCCTCCTCCTTCCAACTTTACTGTGCCATCCTCGCTCACGTCGAGCCCTAGACACGATGAGGACCAGGGGCGGTTTCCTATATGTGGCGTTTTCAAAGCCGCTTCATGGTGTGCTTGATCTGCCTTCTCCGCTGTTCACTGCATGGTCTTGCCTATTGCAGGTCGGTCCATATCGCGTTCACTCCTCTGCCCGTGCCCGGGGCCACCTCCTTTTTTCGGGGCGTCGCTTTATTCCTGATGTCGGGGCCATAAGTTCCCTCTCCCTTCCTCCTCTCCACCCTCGGTCTCCTCTCTCTGCTTCCTCTCCCCTTCCTCGGCCACGTTCGCAGGATCACCCATTTTGAACGGCTGGGCCGCTTCTCTGCATCTCTGCCGTTTCACCTTCGTTCGATTGCATGGGGTTTTTCAAATTGAAGCGGCCAGAACGTATTGCATGTTTGCTGCTAGCTTGCTGTGTCGTTGGCCGAAGCTTTCACTCGAGGTGCCATCTGCTTCCCTTGTTGCTTCCGCTACTTCGGCCACCCCCCGATACCTCACAGGTGGGAGCTGCGGTCAGGCGTTTAGAGATGCGCCGTGTGTCTTAAGGGCAGGCACGCGGGAGGCACCCCGCCTGTCGGTTCTTGCTCTCGGACGAGTCCAAGTTGCATGCTGCAAAGCAGCAGGCCCTGGGCCACAAGACTGGCGCCTTTGAATGATCGGACGGCTCTGTGCTCTTTATCTGCCTGAGATGCGAAAGTCATTCCTCACGCGCCTCTGTCAGAGTACATGCCTCTGATTGTCGCGTGCCCCCGTCTCGTCTGCTCGATTTGGTTGGCGTACATTTTGCAAGGGCAGGCATCCCACTTATTATAAGCATTTTCTTAACGTGACGGTGAATTTGGGCAACAGTATGACTTGTTTTGACACCAGCGCTTTCCCTGATTCTGTGCCGTTTCTGGACTCGGAGGATGACGACTTGCAGCAGACGGAGTCTGCTGAGCTTCAGAGAGTCGCGGCACAGCTCCGATCTAACGTGGGGGGGGGGTCGGGGGAGTGTCGAGCAAGGCATGTCTGGCGACTCAGATTAACCTCTCTTGAAGGCAATCCTACCTGGGTCGCTCTTTCAGAGCTGGCAGGTCCCGCACTGCCAGCCATGTCCACTCTGCTGGGGGCCAAATCGAGGTCAAAATATCCTCATCCTCCTCATCCTCCTCCTCGGCGTGTCATCCTTGCGCAGGGGCCATGCTAATCTTCTCTGTATCGCTCCAATTTCCCAAAAAATGAAGCTACGTGCGATCCTCCCCCTCAGCGTGGCCCCACCACAGGTATCTGGAGCCCGCACGCGCGCCGGCCCTGGAGGGCAGGAAGCGGCGCAGTCGCACACACCTGACGGCAGCGGTGGGCCCCCAGCTGGCAGCGACGGAGCTGAGGTGGCGCGCCCGCGAGGCGGCCGCCCACCCGCCGCCGCGGGGCGACGGCACGGCGCTCCAGGCGGCGACCGCGACAACCGCCCTGTTCCGAGGCGGGAATTTACACACGGCCACCGCCTGGAGGGTCAGTTTTCGGAGCCTCGGCAGGCGGCGGATGTGGATATGTTCGGGCCCCCGGGGGCCGAAACATATCCGTACCAACCGCCCGCTGGGGCACCAGTACGTCGGTTCCCAGGCGGTGGGTATGGATAAATCTCTGCCTCGCACCTGTGGTCAGCCATCCGGGCGTGGGCACAGCTGCGCCGCCAGGGCCGCCCCGTGACGTACACGATCGCCTCCCGAGCTGCGTGCGCGCGGTGCGGGCAGGTCATATCCAGCGACGGGCTCCACCCTCTGGAGGGGTGCCGCCATGCCGAGGAGGCGGCCCGCGAGCTCGCGCGCGGCACGGCGTGGGCGGCATTCCCGCAGGCGGCCTTCCTGACCGTGCTGCGCATGGGCCTGGACATCGATCGGAGGTTGATAGACCTCCTACCCTGACACGTCGATTAGTGAATTGGCCGTTCGGTTCGCGAGAGGGCGTCGCGGCCGTCATTTTTGCGGGTCCAGGTCCGTCGGTTTCGGCCCTAGGCCGTTTTCACTAAAGGGTGGTTTACGAAAGGGAGGTTTGTCCACCGCCGAATCGAGGCGGGGGCGGCGGTCGCCGCGAACTTGGCGCGGGAGGCCCACGCAACGGCGACTGCCAGTCTGGCCACCGCGTGAGCCGCGAGCATTGGCGCCGCCCTGCCGCAGCACCGCCGCCGCCACACCGCCGCCGCTAGGCGCCCCGGCCAGGCCCGCCCGCCGGGTGCCGCTGATGGGCCGCCAGTGGCCGCCCTGGGCCGGCTGGCAGGCACATGTGCTGATCTGGGCCTCCTAGATGGGGTCGGAGCAGATGGGGTCGGAGGATCGCGCCGCATCGCCGATGCATCGGCGATGCGGCTCGATGTGGGGCCCAATTATCTCCGCGCCGATGTCGCCGACGCCGCCGATGCATCGCCGATGCATCGCCGACGTATCGGCGATGCGGCGAGATCCTCCGACCCCATATAGACGGACCCCATCCAGGAGGCCTCTAGCTGAGCCTGCGGGCTGCCCAGCGCCGCGCCGGCCTGGGGCCCCTGGAAAAACGACCCTCCTTGAGCGTTCAGTCTGGCGTCGATGCAAAGTCGCACCCTTGTGGGCGACCCCTCGGCCCAGGCTGAGTCGCTGGCAGATCCGCGGAACCCGTATAGCATATGTTTTTTTTTTTCAAGTGTTCGCTTGCCTGCCGGCGAACGCCCAGCGGCACCAGGCGTTGGCACCGCGCCAAGGAAAAAAGGAGGAGGAAGGAGGAGGGAGGAGGAGAGGGAGGAGAGGAGGAGGGAGGAGGGAGGAGGGAGGAGCAGCAGAGGCAGGAGGAGGAGAGTGCAGGAGGAGCAGGAGCTAGGAGGGGAGAGCTGGAAAGGGCAACAGATGCAGGAGGCCGCCCTCGGGGGCGCTGGGGCCAGGCGCCAGAGGGCGACGCTGGCAGGCTTCGCGCCGAGATCGAGGCCGACGCAAGGGCTGTTTGGCGCGGCGAGCAGTTCTCGGGGAGGCCAGAGGTGGCTCGTCCTCGCCCCACCATCCCTCCCTCCTCCCTCTCCTCCTCATGCTCCTCCTCCTCATTCTCCTCCGCCTCGTCGTCGTCATCATCACCATCACCCGCATCATTATCATCATCAGCAGCATCACCATCATCAACGTCAGCAGCATCATCATCGTCAGCAGCAGCATCATCGTCAGCATCACCATCAGCAGCACCGTCAACATCAACAGTAACATCTGTATCAGCAGCATTACAATCATAATCAGTGCCATCATCATCATCATCATCATCATCATCATCATCATCATCATCATCATCATCATCATCATCATAATCATAATCATCATCATCATCATCATCATCATCATCATCATCATCATCATCATCATCATCATCATCATCATTATCATCATCATCAGTATCGTCAGTATCATCATCAGCATCATCATGATTGTCAGCAGCAGCAGCAGCGTCATCATGATTGTCCTCAATGACAGAATCGCCGCTAACATTCGAATCAGTGTCATCATCATCGTCGCCACCATCATCATCATCATCATCATCATCATCATCATCATCATCATCATCATCAACAGCAGCAGCAGCATCCGCATCAGCATCATCATCACCACCACCATCATCATCACCATCAACAACAACATCACCACCCTCTTGTCTCCTACCTCCCTCTGCCTTCTCCCTCTCTCCCTCTCCCCATATGTTCCTCCTCCTCCCCCGTAGAGATGGGTGCCCAAGGAACGTCAAGGTGTTGGTTCGAGAGGGTTTTTGCTGGGGGAGGGAGGAGTCGAGGGGTGAGAGGAAGAGAAAAGCGAGGAGGAGAGGCCAGGATCAAGTCTGATTCCTCTTCCTTGTCTGGGTGTCGACCAGATCGGTCCTGCCCGAAGGAATTCGTGCCTCCGTGGGCTGTTGGGGTGGCCCACGTGGCCCCCGAGGCTCTAAAACTATTCTGGCGGAGGGACCAGTGACACGTTGGGCCAGGGGCACCTCTGTGGGAGGAGGGGGGGAAGGGGAGGAGGAGGACAAGGAGGAGGAGGAGGAGGAGGAGGACAAGGATAAAGAGGAGGAGGGGAGGACGCGAGAGGTGGAGAAGGAGGTGGAGGAGGGGGAAGTAGAGAAAGAGGGGCCGCCGACGTCAACACACAACGCTCAGTCCGACTCCCCCTATCCCATCGTCCTCAGCACTGCTCGGCGGCAGGGCGTCACTGTGGCCGCCCCCTTCCCACCCGTGCTATCCCACTCACTCCATCCCTTGTTCACTCACTCGATATGTCCTCCCCTTGTTTTCTTGTTTGGGTTGCTTGTTGTTTCTCTCTCTCTCTCTCTGTCTATCTTTCTCGCTCTTTCTCCGCTCCTCATCGCCGTCATCCCCCACGCGCCCCCAACCCATCCCCATCCCATCCCATCCCCGTTTTCCGTCCCTCGCTCCCCCCGCTCCCCTTTGCGTTCCGAAGCAACATCTATAGTATATGCGTTCGCCCTCCCCACACCTCTTCCACCTACTCCCGCATCCTGTCTCTCGCTCTCTCTCTCTCTCCCTCCCTCCTGTCCCCCCTCCCTCGGCGTTCATCACTCCTCTTCCTCCTCCTTATCATCCTCCCCCGCCGAAGAAAAGGAGCGGGGGATCGTGCCAGACGCCCGTTATGCATCATTGTGTATCCCTCAGTTGCGTGCCAACGGGGGCCAGCAAGCACGAGTTGGGCTCGTGTTGAAGTTCAGCACGGAGTCACGATGGGAATATGTATCGGGCTCACCAGACTCACACAGGCATAGGCAGAGATTAGGAGTAAAGGCCAATCGGAATCAGTGAGTAGAGACACATCGGCGCGTGAGGGCCAGCAGGAACACTGTTCAGATCGAGTAGCATACCTCTCCTCTCCTCCCTTCCTTCTCCCCATATCCTTTTATTCCCGTCTGCCCCCCACTCCTCCTCCTTTCCTCTCCACCCCACCCTCCCCACATCCCATCACTTCTTGTCCTCCGTCTCCCCAAACCCCCCATCCCCCCCCTTTCCCTTCACTCTCCCATCTCCCTTGATACTGCGCGGTACTACCGCCACTTACCCCGCGGATTTAAAAAAAAGGTGCGTTTGACCCCCAAAAATCACCCCCACCCCCAGTTGGGGTCGGGACTGGGGGATGGGGGTGGGTGTTCGCCTTCCCACTCCTTTTCCCCTCTTCCACCTTCCCGTTGCGCCCGCTCCTGCTTCTGTTCCTCGTCCTTCGCTTTCCTGATCATCCTCCCCTTCCTCCTGCCCATCCTCCTGCTCATGCCCCCCCCTCGTCCTCCTCCACTGTACCAAGCCTCCCTTCTGGTTGCGCATCAGCCGGTGGGGCCCACGGGTGGACCAACGTCACCGACTTGGCATTCACACCCTCGCTGGAGGTTTTCAGCCGCTTGTGGCCGGTAGCGCTGCAGGCCATCCCGGACAATCGATGGCTCGATTCTTTCCATACGGGGTCCCCAGAAGTCCCGAGTCCCACCGAGGCCGCGAGAGGGCCCCCAGGGCCCAGGGTTGTCTTTTGGTGTGCGGGCAGGCGGTGGCGTCGGAATTGGGCATGCAGAAGGACGTGTGCGGAAGGAAGCCCTCCAACGTGCGTCTCGTCGCGCATGCCTCTGGCACGTGTGTTCACTCACATGCTTCTGGCGACAACGGGGCCCCCAGGGGGGTATTCACTTTACACGCGTCGCACTCTTAACACGCAAAAGTACATGCGCGGAGGGGGGGGTCTCCAACATATTCCTCGTCGCGCAATCGTTTGGCACACGTTGTCACGCATTCATGGCGACCACGGGGCCTCCAGAGGGGGGGCATCTGCGTAAGAATACGTACGCGGGAGGGGGGCGTGCGCACGGGGCAGGCGTTTTCACGCGGCTACGGGGCATCGGATATCCTACATGATGTGCGGGGAGCATTTCGCTTGAAACGTCCTGACAACATGGGAGTGTTGGAGGAGTTGTGGGTTGGACAAAATGGGAGCGTCTCGCCTGAAACATCCTGAAAAAATGGGAGTGTTGGACTGACAAAAAGAAAACTTCGCTTGAGACATCCCCCAGAAAATAGACGTTGGAGATCTGACGTCGGATATCCAGCATGGTGCGGGAGGTGCGTTTCGCCTGATACGTCTTGACAAAATGGTGATGCTGGAGGAGCTGTGTTATCACGTTGGTTTTCCAACATGAATGTTTCGCCGAAGACATCCTCCGAAAATTGAAATGTTGGAGATCGGTCGCCAGGTATACATGGTGTGGAGGGGGGGCGTTCGCTTAAGACATTCTCACAAGATGGGGATGTTGGAGGAGGTGCTGTTCGACGTTGTTTCTCAAAAGCGAGGTTTTTGCTTTGGACACCCTCAGAAGAATGATATCGGGCATCGGAGATTCAAGATGGTGTGCAGAGGCGTTTCGCCTGAGACACCCTCGCACAATGGAAATATTGGAGGAGTTGGTGTGCGACGTTGGTTCTCAAAACTGTTTCTGAAGTTCTCGCATGAGACATCCTGAGAAAATTGCGATTTCGAGATCGGACGTTGGATATCAAACTTGGTGTGGCGGGGCGGCGGCTCCCTGCAGACGTCCTTGGAAAAAAGGATATGTTCAGTGAGCTGCCGAATTCGTCGAGTGGCTCTCGTCCCAGACGTCCTCGCCAATGGAGGCGCCACCAGAGAAGTCTCACGGCAGATTCTTTGATTTATAAATTCCTTACCAGGTTCGTGGGCCCTCCAGCTTCCAGCCTCCGACGCCCAGCACCCACCTACGGTCGACGCCCACTTCCCCACTTCGGCGACTCCTGAGGGCTCCGGATGGCGTCACCCCAACATAGTAATATAGTGGGGGCGCGCATCAAGAAACCATCTACTGTTCGTCAGGGTACCCTGGGTTTCTTCGCTCCGCGCGCTGCGCGGTGACTTCCCGCGACCGTCAAAGGAGCTGCTGCGTTCACGGTGTCCATTGTTCTCTCTCAGATGCACCTCGCGCGCGGGTGTTCAGGGTTGGGTTTCTTGCGAGGGTTTCTTGCGACCACGTCCGCACTGTACTATGTGTGCGTCGCCCCCCCAGGGGCGACGCGCGAACCGAGAAATCGTGCAGTGCATGCGTCGTGGCAGGCGCTTTCTGGCCACACCGCTCGGGAAACGATGTGCTACAAGACGGTATACCATGGTCGGGTCGGGCGCGTGCCTCCAAGGAGGACATGGTGTACTAGTGTGTCTCTGTGCGTCCCATCCGGCCCCACCGCGCTGCCCTCCTGGTGCCGGTCCCGCCGGACCGACATCGCGCGCTCGCCCCGCCTCGCCTCCTTGCACCAAGAGTCCGGCGCCCACGGCGGGCTGCAGCGCAGCACGGGGCGCCCAGCTGCCCTCCAAGCTGCGGCCGTTGCGGGCCGATCGCTGGGGGCCGCGGTCGACCTCGGAGGCCGCGCGGCAGCGTCCAGCCGCCAGCGCGGTGCAGGCCCAGCGCGCTCTTGGCCGTGCTGCCTGGGCAGCTGCTACTCCGAAGGGGCTACACATTGTTCATTTCTGATTCTTCGAAAATTCCTTGAATTTTAGGGGGGCCAAGATGCTTTCATGTCTAATTGTTCTATCCTGGGCCCCTTCCTGGCCACTAGGGGGCTAGGAACAATTAGAGACGAGCACAATTAGAAATGAGCACGATTAGAAATGAACGACGTGTAGGACGAGGATGACTCCGTTTCAGAGCGTTCCGGAACGCTCTGAGAAGGCCGCGGCGCCCGAGACGCTTTCCAGAGCCGCCGGATCTCAGAGATTCTCGACTCATCCTCACCCGAATGTATCCTCGTCTTGGCTTCGTCTTGTATCGTGCGATGTGGCGCCGCCGGCCCGCCTATTGCACGCTGTCCCACGCCGCCCTGCACCGAAACTCCGCCAGCGGACCCGCCGCCGTTCCGCTGACGCTGGACTCTGCTGGCCTTCCGCCGGGTATCCGCCGCAGGCGAGGTGCGCCGACAGCGGTGCCTTGTCTGGAACGCTCCGCGTGCCTGTGTCGTTGGAAAGAGAGCATCCAATGTGTCGCCGCCGGCCCGCTTCTTACACGCTATCCCTCACCTTGGTTGGAGGTAGCGTGCACAGAAGAAGCCCTGGCAGGGGACAACGTGCACAGAGGAGGCACTCGCAGGGGGATCGCCTCACAGGGATGGCGTGCCTTTCAAAGATCGATGTTGCAGGGTATGTTTCCCAACGCCAGCCGCAAGGCTTGCAGCTCCGATTCTTGCACACGGTGAGGACAGAGACTACCCTCCGTGCAAAAAGCAACTGGTGTTTTCTACACAACTCCCCCCCCAATTTCAGTGTTCAATGCGGTGCCGATTTGTTTTTCGAACTTAGCCACTCGCGCGATCAGCATTGAAATGGGGGGCCGGGGGGCTCACCAAACACCAGTTGTTTTTCGCACTGGGTTGTAGGTAGGGCAGGGACTAGATGCAGAGCGCGCCGCTGTCCAGCAACCAGGCGTGCTACGCGGGGCACGCGTCGTGCATGTTTCGTGGGATTCGCGGGCGGTGCAGGCCCAGGGCTGGCCAGCGGCGCGCTCAGCTTGGGCGGCGCGGCGGCGTTGGCCGCCCTGAGCTTGACAGTCCAGACATTTGGGTACGCAACGCTCGAGAGCGATTGCGAAGGGGGTCAAAGGGAAGTGGCCTCGCTTCGGCTTGCTTGCGACTTGGGGGGCGACCTTCGGAGCTTTCAACCTTGGAACCCTCGGGCTGGCGAGCTTGCGACCTTCGGACCCTCGGGCTGGCGACCTTGCAACGCTCCCGTCGGGCTTGTGACTTGGCACGGCTTGCCGTCGGAGCTTGGGGCTCGCTGGGAACGCTCAGATCGCTTGAGACTGAATGCCGCTCGCGAAGGAAAAGAGTCCAGGCCTCCCAGATGGGGTCCGAGCTCGGCGATGTTGTTCCATGTGGGGCAGGATGTTCGCCACGCCGACGTCGCCGATGCATCATGGCGCGTCGCCGATGCATGGCTGATGCATCACCGAGGCATGGCTGATGCATCGCCGACGCATCGCCGATGAATCGCCGATGCATCGACGATGCGGCGTGATCCTCCGACCCCATCTGCTCTGACCCCATCCGGGAGGCCTCTAGGGATGGAGGGGTGGCGTAATATTACAATGTTAAACCCAAACCAAGCGCGATGGAGGACAGCACCACTCTAGAACGCGCAGTGGTCACCGCCAGTGGACCAGGCAGCTCGCCTCAGGAATATGCCCCAGCATGTGCTTCAGGGTGAAGGAGGGAGTTGAGGAGGAGTACGAGGGATGAACCAGGAGGATGATGGAGGATAGAGGTTCTATCGGTTCTAGGGGATCCACAGGGTTCCGGTTGGCGGAGATTGACGGCAAGGAGAGGAGATGCAAGCAAGGAAGCAGAGAAGGCAGGAAGTATTGAGGAAAGTAATAATGGGGGGAGGTGCGTTGCCTCAGGTGGTGGATGCCGTGGTCGCCCTGGCCATGACGCAGGCGCAGCAGTGCGAGCGATACGTGCGCGGCACCTGTGAAATCGCGGTCCTGCTGCTGTTTGCGATGAGCGGCGGGGGCACCGGCAGCGTCGCGGACGCCCAGGCCGACGCATTCTGGTGCCTCTCGCGGCTGCTGTCCGAGGTGCAGGATGGCCCGGTCAGTCAGTCAGTCAGTCACTCAGTCAATCAGGTCTCCTTGTACCAGACGGTGCGCAAGCAAGGTCATATGCTACAGCACAGAAATCAAAGGTACCATGCGCGGACAGCGGTCTCCGATGCCAGCGCTGTACCGCCCTCTGGCCGGAAGTAGTCAGCAAGAGGAACAAGCAAACCAGCAATGTCCAAACAACTGTTCAGGACAGCCCTGGGTGCCAGCTATCAGAGGAGCAAGAGGCCGCGAGAACATACGTCCCAAGAGCTCCAAGGATCTTCGGATCTCCCAGATCTCCTGATGTTCCACTCGGGGGCGCCCAAAAACGATGTGGAGGCCACACCGCGCGGTGAGTCAGTGGGGATTCGGAGTCACCGCGCTGTTTTGGGACTCGGGCCGTTCTCCGAGGACATCTCGGGCGACCGGGGCCTCCGAGGCCCCAGGACCGTGCGGTGATGGACCGCGCTGCGAGGCCTTCTTGGGGCTTCGAAGTCACCGCGCGGTCGGTCCCCACACGGTCCTGGGACCCCCGATGCGCACAGGCTGCAGAAGCGAGGGGGCCGATGGACGCTCCAGATCCAGAGCCAATCGCATCATGACGTCATTCCCGTTCTGAGAGTTAGCCTCATTTGCAGCATCGGCCTTCACACCCCTTTCAATTGGGGCTGCGGATCTGCATCGCGATCTCGCCTCACTCGGCTCATGATGCGAACGGCACGCGCGTGAGCAAACACCTTGCTGATGGGATTGTGCTCTCCTATCTTAAAAAGTTGGACCAATCGTCCTGAGATAGCTCGTCGAGCCCGGACCCTCGGCGGCATGCCTCCTCGTGGCGTGGTCCTGGGGAGCCCTCGAGCCCGACCTTCGTCCGGAGGCCTCGCGCCGCGGGCCCTGCCCCTGCACAGCGCCCCGGGCGGGCCCGAGAGGGGCCTGCTGAGTCGTTCTTCCGACTCGGCGCCCGAGTTGCCACCGAAGGCCTTGAGATCCTGGCGTTGCAGTTCTTTTCGAGTTGGGCACCTTCTAGTCTCGGACCCCGGGGCCCTCACAGATCGATCCAGCTCGAAAAAAACGGCGCAGAAAGATGGGTTCCCGGGGGTCCGGTCGCGATTCTTCGCGATTCCCGGGGGATTCGTGCAAGCCGAGGTCTTCGGCCCGGGGTGGGGCCCGCAGCCTTCCAGGCCGGAGTGGCCGCCTCTGGGTACAGTAGGGGAGCGCGCTGCACTCGCGCGCGCGGGGTCGACGGCCTGCTGCTGTCCCGGGCAGTTGCCAGGGAGTCCGGGTTCCGATCGGGAGTCGGAGCAGAGAGAAGAAGATCAGTAGAGGAGGAGGAGGAGGTGGAGGAGGAGGGAGGAGGAGGAGGAGGAGGAGGAGGAGGAGGAGGATCAGCAGCAGAAAAAACAAGCAGGAGGACTAGGTATGGAGGACGGGGGTGAGAGTAGGCGAGGGTAAAGGAGGAGGAGGAGGAGGAGGACGTGGACGAGGGGAGAGGCGGGAAGGAGAGGCGTTGGACGAGGACTAGGACATGAAGGACGACGAGGGGGAGGAGTCATCCCCCCTCTTCGTCCTCCATGTCCTTGTCATCGAGGAAACGATCATTGACGGAAAGACCAAAATGCCTGACTAGGGCACGACCTCACGTGATGGTGAAGGCCACGATCGCAGACGCACGCTAGCAAGGCAGTTGGAGCAAGAAGCAGGATCTGCAGAACTCCTAGAATTCTTCCGTCCTCCCTAAGTAGGGGGAATTCTATGAGTTCTGCCATCGGTGTGGCGATGTCCTATTCTAAAGCGCCGCCCGTGTACTCCATGAGAACCGAGAGCAACGCCTGCAAACGGTGGAGAACATCGAGAAGAGATGCCGGATACGAGGATGCCGCAGGTGATCCCGTCGAACTCGTAGCGCTCCATGATATTCATTCGCTCCAACAAGCGCAATTGTTAAGAAAGCAAACCATGAATTCAAACGACAACCGTGAAACAGGGAAGAAGCGATGAGCGCATCGCTCGTAGAAAGTGGCCGCCGCAGTACCCGAAGAGCATACAGAACCTTCTTCAAAATTGAATCCCGCACAGCAGAAACGTATACACGACGTTTCCCAGAAGTCCCACGATTGAAGCACGCCCAAGGGAGTAGCGGTCAGTGCCAGGGCCAGGCCCTTACGGTTCTCCCCCATCTCCTTGAGACGGACGTCGATCAACATGTCGAGGAAAACATCAGAACCACAAGCGGTTGTTGAAATGTATGACGCGGACTCTGCCGAGACACATCACAAAATGCTTGTCGTGCCAAACAAGTCGAAAACAAAGACGGCGAAAAGGTGCCCTCAGCGAAACGAGCACTAGCCTCCACAACAAAAGAGAAACCCGGTGAGAAAATGAGCCCGCTTTGTATTGTCCAGATTCGCCACCGCGATATGCAGCACACTTTTTGCAGAGCGTCCAGTCCATCCGATGGCGCCCCCGTGCCAAGCAAACGCCCAAGCACCACTCCGCGCGCACGGGCGAGAGCAGCGCAGGAAAGGGAAATGCGTGCTGCGGGCGCCGAGCGTGCTGGAGCCAGGACGCCATGCAAAAACAAGACAGCCTCCAGCAGGAACATCGAAAGCAAAGCGAGAGCCGCTGTCACGATCAGCAACGCACACACACACACACATACACGTTGACTGCGCGATGCCGCCCGAGAGTGTCCCGCTGCGGCGCCTCCGACGCGGCTCCGGGGCTGCGCTGGTCGAGCGAGGCGCTGCTGACGAGGGAGGGGGGGAGGGAGAAAAGCGGGGCAGGGATTGAAGAGGAGAAGGATGAGGGCGTTGTTGGCATTGTGTTGTTGACACCGCGTTGTTGGCACTGCGTAGGTGGCACCTCGCTGTTGACAGCTTGACGCCGCGTTGCTTGCATCGCGCAGTTGAAACTTCGCCGTTGACGCCGCGCCGTTGATCAGGAAACCAAAGAGGGAGAATACCACAACCAGGGAGGAAACCAAACCAAGCAGAAGGGAACACACGACGGCACGGAAAAGACGAGCAGGACACACAACGGTTTTCGGAACGAGGGGGTCCAGAGGATTTCTACTATGCTACTCCGTATTTGCTCCTGCCGCTTCCCCAGCGGGGGATTTCAGAGTGAGGCGGGACGGACAGAATTCGAAACGCAAATTCGACACTACGTTGTTGACGTTTTCCCGTTGAGGATTGGGAGGAAAACGAGGAGGAGGGCGCTCGCCATGACACCGTGCAACGGCGCCGCACTAGTGACATCGCGTAAACTTCACGCGTTGCTGATCCCTTGGAGGTGACCGCGCTGTTCACGCCGCGCAGGAAACACTCCAAAAACGCATTACGTCGAAAACGTAGCGTAGAAGACAGCTCGTAGAATACCATGCGCCAACCTATATTTAAGGACACCGAGTGAACCACATTGCCGAAAAAAGCGCGTGGCAACGTTGTGTAGAAAACACCGCGTTGAAATCACTGAGCAGAAATAAGGCAGCGTAGAACACACAGCGTTGAGGAGACTGCATAGAAGATGCTGCGTTGAAACTCACTCCCTTACGCAATGTTAAGTTCTGTGGAACAAAAAACGCGCACAAGACATGTCGTCGAATACGACGCGTCGAGCACACTGCGTTTCAAACTCTGCGCCGACGTGTCGCGTAGAAATCATTGCGTAACAGACATTGCGTAGAAAGCATTGCGTTGAAGACACTGCGTAGAGTCGGAGCGTAGAAGGCACAACGTAGAAGGCACAGCGTAGAAGACACCGCGTGAGGATACGTGCGGTGCGAAGAAGACACTGCGTAAATATTGGCAGGTTGTGCCACCATGTATAACACACTGCGTTAAAACACCACGTAGATACCATCGCGTAGAAGACACAGGGTAGAAAGCACTGCGTAGAGAACGCCGCTTACAAAAGATCGCATAGGTGTGATGATTGCACCGTTCAAGCCCAATCTCTCAAGCGACAACTGCTAGACCAACTATTGGCAACCGAAAATTGCAGTACATGCGCCAGCACAAGGACGACTACGCAATACTCACCAAGACTGCATAGGCACCGTTCAAAAATCACAGCAACAACATGACACCAAGATATGCAAGACCAAGACAGACACCAACCAAGAGGAATTAACAACCAGCCACAGACATCACACACCGAGTCGTCCAGCCTCACGGGCGCAATATATACAATTCGGCAGATACCAAGCGGAACGGCCACATATTCATTCAAGCCAGCCACATCTAACCCAACCCACCCAGCCCGAAAGACGATCGGGACACATATCGTTTAGCAGTATTGCCACAGTCAGTATGCGACGGATTCGAGGACAACGGCAAGACCATTGGAGAGCTCAGAGACGCACGGCAGAACAAGACGGCGATTGCACGAGACAGCTCAGAAGCAAGGTTGCGAATCGCAGAAGACATCACACACACCAGCTACAAGCAGCCCGCGACCACCTCTCCACAAGCGTCCACACCGAGGGGCTCAACCAAACGGTTCGACAGACACCGCTCCGACTACATGCGCACATTGGAGCGGCGTTCAGAGAATAACGCGCAGCTTTACGCGGCAGAGACGAGATTGTCAAGCAACACGAACACACAGGCACCACCAAGTAGAGGATATGCCAGCCCAAATTATATGCACTACCACCTGCGTCTACGCGACCCCCAAGCCAAAGCGACTACTGCACCACCAGCAACACCCACATCTCACACCACGCACCACGGATGCAGATTGAAGCTAGTGCTGCATCACTAGACGCCAAGGGCTACGAGAACAAGAACACCACCACGAAGAGCAACGACATCAAGGCACACGCGACCAACAAGCGACTACAGCACAGCGAGCTGAGCAAACCATGCAGCACACGATGCAGCAAATACACCAGCACCACCGAGTGAAGCAAGCAGGGCAAGCACGACAAGCCAGACCTTCACTACTGATTGCGTAACTAAAGCATCAAGGCCTTAGAGCAAGGAGCAGCACAGAAAGCACAACGCGCAGAATGACATGAATTGCAGCACGAGGGTCACAAATAACAGCACGCATTCTACATTGAACAACGAGCACAATCACAAGTCGCGTTCGGCTAGAGGTCACGACAGCACGCGAATATATCAGGACCGCGCAGCACCTACAACCAGCAGAGGGCGAGTGCTAAACGGGCACCAAGACCAAGAAGCAGCGCACCTCATCATGGCGAGTGCACCAGGGCAACTACACAGCCAGCCTGCATTACGAGCAGCTGGTCAGCACGACACAAAATACCGAGCAAGGGACTGAAATTTAGATAAGCAACCAGCAAGAGATGCTACACGCTTACAGAATTGCACAGATGTAGCCCGAGAAGTGGCATCCCGAACGCGAAGAAGAACTGTCGGGACTACTACGACAAGCCACGGACAGACCAGAAGATCCACTGAAAAGTGCACCAAGAAGAACGAATTCAATAACTTGCGCAGGGTCTCGACCAGAAGAAGAAGGCCGGCGACTACATCGGGAGCTGGAGGATGTCATCGATGACGCAGCGGACGACGGTTTTACAGCACGACACAGCACCACCCATGTTCGACGACCCACAAGAAGAAAGGAAGAAGAAGAAGAAGAAGAACAACAACAGCAACAGCAGCAACAACAGCAACAGCAACAACAGCAACAGCAACAACAGCAACATCCGCAACAGCAACAGCAACAGCAGCAACGCGAGCACATAGGCACACGCACAAACCACTTGTTCGAGCTGCCCCATCACACGGGACACCCATCAGACCCACTGAAGTATATTTTGGAAGAGCCCCATCGCCACAGACTCCACAACATCAGACACCGAAGCGGGCACCAACAGCGGACATGCACTCACTGCCAGTAGGTGACACGCCGCAATGCAGCAGCCCCCCGCAGCAACAAGACACAACCATGCACCGCGACGCGCTGCAACAGTCTGGCGAGGTGCCACTCCTAACAGTTCAGCGCAAGGTCACGGCCGCGTCGAGTCCCGGCGATCGACCGTAGGCCCCCCGTTCGCCACCCGGGCGCGCACCGCAACATGCGTCGGCAGCGGCAGAGACCACGAAGGCCATGGCAGTACCTCTACCCGACGGGAAGCCACTCGGGTTCTGCCTTGCTGGCACCGCAGCTGAGTGCAGTTGCCGTTGTTGTTGCTGTTGCTGTTGCTGCTGTTGCTCAGGCCAGCCAGTATAACTGAGCCAGCCGGCACGCACATCTTAGTTTGCCGAGTTAGATTTCTTGACTTCGGCGGCGGTAGAGGTTAGGTCAATTTGGAATGGGGGCGGAGGGGTATCATTATTGACAGCAGCCTCCGCATCGCAGAGGATATTCGGACAAGAAGTAGCCCAGGTATTTGTTCCGTGCTTGTCATAATCTTGTTTACTGAGTTGTATGTGTATATCCTCTTCCCTACCTGACACTGCCGCGAATCGGGCTACTCTTGCCCAGTGGGGCTACCATTTTGTTCACTTCGATGTGCGTGTTGTTCGCATCGCAAAGTCTGTCGATCTGTTTTCTACGCCCGAGGAACGCTACAGCCTTGGAGCTGAAGTTAGTCCGATGTGGAAAGGAGGAGAGGAGGGGACGGAGGAGGGAGGGGGAGGGGAGCAGGGGACGGAGGAGGAGTGCGGGGAGGGCGATGAGGAGGAGGAGGAGGAGGAGGAGGAAGAACAAGAAGGGGAGGCAGGAGGAGGAGGAGGAGGAGGAGGAGGAGGAAGAGGAGGGAAAGGAGGAGGGGGAGGTGGAGGAGGGGCGGATGAGGGGGGGTATGGGGGAGAAGGTGGAGGAGGGGCAGGGGGAGGAGCAGGACCCTCCCGAAAATCGATTCTCGAATTTCGATCCTTGATTCCCAAAGTTCGATCCTGGACGCGACGAGGACAGCATCTCGGACGACTCCACCCTGGCAGAGCAGGCGCGGCGCGCGCACGAGCTGCTGCGCGTGTACGACCCCCCGCTGGCCGACCTGCTGAGCTCGCACGGCCTCAATGCGCTGCCCACCCTGAGACTCGGTGCGCTCCTGCCTCCTCCTCCTCCTGCCTCCTCCTCCTCCTCCTGCCTCCTCCTCCTCCTCCTCCTCCTCCTCCTCCTCCTCCTCCTCCTCCTCCTCCTCCTCCTCCTCCTCCTCCTCCTACTCATCCTGCAGGGTGAGAGAGGGAGGGATGGAGAAGAGGGGGATCGGGAAGCAGGGGCAAGGGTTAGGGAGCAGGAGGAAGAAGGGAGGGAGGCGGAGGATGAGGGGAGGAAAGGAGGTCAAGGTAGCTCGGTCGAATGAGTCTGTTGTCCCCGCCCATGCCCATCGTCCCCCCAGTAAGATGAGAGCCAATGGTGGCGCAAGTTGGTCTTGGGACTGGCGCGCGTTCCCCCTAGCGGACGTCAGGCGCAATCGCGCGGTGTTTTTGCCGACGACATGGCGAGGGGAAGAACATGGGCCGCGCACGGGTTCCAGCAAAACTCCTAGAGCATCATTGCGCGGCGTTGCGGCAAGAGCACCGAATAGCCTTCTCTCGGGCGGCCAAGGTTCCACCGGGCGCCGCACCGAAGCAGCAATGCCACTTCCACGCGCCTACTGCGCGGCGACTGGGCGAGGACAGCATCTTGCCCGCTCTCGCGCGACACCGCTGCTCGCGCCGCGTGCATCGATTCGGCGAGCGAAACATGCGCCACGCCCACGCGGGAACGCCGCGTCCAAGCGAACTTCGCAAGGAGCTCGAGCGAGGGCGACAAGTCGCTTGGTCGCTCCCGCGCGGCCCCACCCCCGAGGATTTGGCGAATGAAGCACATGCGCCGCGCCGAGGCATGAGCGCCACTTTCAGGCGAAATCTGCGCGGCGCCGAGGCGAAGGCGATATGTTCGTCTGGTCGTGCCCCAACGAATTTGTCGAGCGAAAGGTGTTCCCCGCGCCCAGCGGGGAGCCCACTCCCAAGGGAAACTGGGCGCCGCGCCGAGGGCGGGACGGACAAGTTGCCCTTTTGCGAACGATGTGCGCCCCGTCCCTCTCCCGCTTCGCAGTTCGCAGCGCCGACGTCAAAGCACCCGTACTGAAAGGAAGGAGCGTCGGCTGTCTGCCAGCCACGTGGCCTCGTACATGTGCATACTCATAGGGGGAACAAGGGAGGCGGGAGGAGGGCAAGGGATTAGGAGGGAGGAGGAGGAGGGACGATGGAAAGCCCATTTGGCCTCTGGCGATCTGGGCCTGCGACCCGATCGATCGGTCAGGTTCGATCGGCGCCTGCCGCCCGATCGATCCCGCCTCGCAGGCCGATCGCGAGGCCGGGCTCAGCGCGCCGCGGATCGGCGATCCGCCGCCGCCGCTGCCGCGCCCTGGCCTCTGGCGGCTGCCGCGCGCCTTCGGCGCGCCCTGGAGAGGCCCGACGCCCCAGGAGCCCGCCTGGCACAGGCGGCAGAGAGAACGCCGAGCCTCGGCACGGGCTCTTCTCCGAGTCGTGAAGGCGGCCGACCTCCTCAGCGGCCACCACTCCGCGCAGCAGCACCAGCGCCCCCAGCAGAACGAGCTGCAGGACCACGAGACCAGCGCTATGGCAGCCAACGCAAAGTCTCACGGTCATCCAGTGGGTGCCAAGCCGTGGCCATGGAGGTCAAGCACACCAGCATCTGGCTCTTCACACCGCCGACACCACGGAGGGCAAGGACAGCAGCAGCCACGGTACCAGCCCCAGCACAACCAGCACCACCACACCTCCCACCACGACGAAGACCGACAGCAGCACAACTACGCCCAGCACCAGCAGCAGTATCAGTACGACTACACCACACCGAGAACGAAGCGGCCTCCCTCGAGAAGACGCCGCCAGGCCCCCGAGGACACCACCAACGACCACCAACATCTGCAAAAGCTGACGAAACGACAGTTGGAGGTCACTGATAAGGTAATGCCCGCCCTGCTTTCGGATGCCAAGGGACACGAAAGTTTTTCTCTCCCTCCCGACGAGCCAGACATACGTCGGGTCTGGCACGCGACCAAGGTGGCGAGGATGGCACGTCTCGCCGACCAAGTCCTCGGAGCCAGGCAAGCTCAAGTTGACCCAACCCGCCTGATCGAGGAGATAGCCATAGTCAAGACCATGCTACACCTGCTGGACACGCCGATGGCTCGCATTGCTCAATATAGATCTCAAGTGGAGTCACGGATCCAGAGACAGCAGATCGTCGAGAGCCAGATTCACGACCTCAATAAGGAGCACGACGAGATCAAGTACGAGATCGCATCCCTCAAGGCACTCATCTCCGAGGCCAAACAGCATCGAGGACATGCTGAACTCTCGGAAGACAGTTGTGACGGGGACGGTGAAGATGACGTGCGCCACCGTGTCAGGGGCAAGACACCACACCCCGAGAGACGACAGCGACCACCAGCTCATCAACCTGTGTCTGAGCCAGCGCCGGCTTCGACTACCAACGACGACAGCGACCTGCGGAAACTCATTGACGTGCTGACGAGGAGAGTGGATGAGCAGCAGCGCAACCACGGGATACACCAACACCATCTGGCGTTTCTCCACCATGAACGTGCCGAATCCGATCAACACGAAGCACAGCGTCAACTGCAGACCGAGCAGATTCAGGAGCTTTCGCAACATCTACAACACTGTCAGGAACAATTTCAGCAAGCACAATTCCAGCAGAGACAGTCGTACTACGACGAGATCCAAGTCTTCCGACAGCGCGAGGAGCGGCTCCGACACGAGGCTCGCGAATCCATCACGGAGAACATGGCTCACTACCAGCAGAAGGAGGCCAACCTGCGCGACCAGCTCAAGGAGGAAGAGTCAGCGCACCTCGCCACCTTCATCATCCAGAGGAAGCAAGAGGAAGAGACCTTCCGACACCAGCTACACGAGAACGCCGAGATCATGGTCCAACAATATCAACAACGCTGCCACGAACAACAGCAACGTCTTCTCTCCGAGAAAGCTCAGGCTCAGCAGGACATCAGCAACATCGCGAGGCTTGAACAGAACCGGCTTCAGGATGCCAAGGAGCTACTTTTGGAGGAGTTCGGACAGGTCCAGGCTCAGAAGTACCGCACTTTGACGGCCCAGAGCGAGTACAACAGCGAGATCGACAGGCTTCGAGGCACTTCCCGTGACACGCAGCGCTTCGAGAACGAACTCCAGGAGCAGCACCAACTCCAACTACAGGAGCACCTTCAGCAACACAGACAGGAGCGCGAGCGACTGCACTGCGAACTACAGCAAGCCCACGAGTTCGGCACCAGCATCGACGTGGACATCCTCAGGGAGCTCGACACACGACTCCAAGAACGAGACGAGGAAGACGCACGACTGCAAGCCCAAGCAGACGCTGAACAAGCACAAGTCGACAAACAGATTCAAGCGGCACTCGAACTGCTGACCCCACCGTCTACCTCCGATGACTCGGGCTATCAACTCTACCTCAGAAACCGCGGCAGCAGCAGCGGTGGACAGCCCAGCAACAGCGGACAGCGCAGCAGCACACCACCACCACGACCGACTCCTGCGACGCCAACCGCCACTCCTACTGCGCGACGCCCATGCCACGACGCCGACGACGCCAGCGTGCACACTCCAATCCCAGCCGACGACGACGACCTTTGCAGCCCAACCCCTGTTGCGAGCGACGCATATCCCTTCCCTGTCCCTACGCCATTACCCACCCCCGCCTCCAATACGCCGATCCCCACCGAGCAACCTACGCCCATCGACTTCCACCCACCCGACCCGCAGAATGACCGACCCAGCTCAGCGCCACCACCACGCACCAGAAGGACAGACTCAACTCAGCACAACCACCCATCCACTACTCTCCTCATTGACATCACTTCCGACGACGACGCACCGCCACCTTCCACCCCAGTGCGCATTCCACTAGCCGACATATCTCCTACCGCACCGATGCAGCCAATCCAACCACCACCCCGCTTCCACCTCGCCACGCCCGACCGCGCCACCTCTGCTCCTCCGCCCCGCACCGCTCTCCGAAAAAACGGATCATCTAGACGAGCGGCCAAGCCCAAGAAAGTCCGTATCTGCGACATCGGAGACGGCTTCGCAGACCCAGGAGACCGAGTGCCAACCTTCCTCAACGACGAGGAAGCCCCTGCGGTCAACTCACCAAAAAACTAACGGGGCCCTCACCCCCTGGGGGGCAACTGGCCCAGGGGGAACGGCCCAGCATCATACCAGAAGACTGTCAGCGCAACGACGGCACTTCCGACTCCTGCAGTGGTTACGCCGACGACGTCAGGCGCCGACTATTTGAGCCCCTGGTGAGCTCCGATTCACCACACGACACTTCACAAGTTTCACCTACCCTCTCATCAGCCAATAGCGGCATGCGCGTTGGGGAGAGCGCACCTCCAGATCTTTACGAGCATGGCGACATGTGGGAAATCCACACACCGCCCAACATGCTACAGCCTAGTAGTGGACCGTGGACCATCCCCTCGGCCTCTACCTCTCGCTTGGGGAGCGCGAGAAGGCTGTCTCACACAGATCCCACACTAGAACCACATACGCTAGCGGACCGACCAACTACCGCCACCCAACCTCGACGGCAGCATGTCGACTCACATCCTCCACCAGCGGAAGCCCAGTCACGGTCGTTCCCGACGATGACGACGCCACCGCCTACGCCTCGAGAGGAAGCATCGCTTTGTGAGTACGACACGGGGGGGGGGTGCGGCCGTCTGTGGCAAGAACGACCAGAGCCACCAACAAGGCATCGACGTACTAGCCATTTTGGCCAAGATGGCGATCGAGACCGACAATTTTGCGACTCACCGAGCCGGCCATGTACATCAACTTCCTGCCGGCCACAACCTCCCATTTTTGACTCCCTTGACGCTACCCAGATCCTACACGGACAGACCGACCTGCCGAATGCGGAGAGCCACGAGGCAGTACGGCATGTTCGTTTCTCCCGCGAGGTTCATACCCGCGACCAGCAGACCGACAATATCCTCTACCACATCGACTTCGACGAACAGGAGCCCTTACTCCAGCACCTT